CAAGGTGAGGGAGGAACTCTCAGTGCAAGCTGCCATGGCAAGAGATCGGTCATGAAATTCAACACCAAGCGCAAAATAATGCACAAGGGCAAGAGAGAGCCACAGCGGGCTTCAAACGGGCTATGATGGCTTGGAGAGGCGCCCGGGCTTGAGGGAGAACCTCGCGTTAGGGGTTCCCGGGGAGGCAAGGAGGGCAGGAGTTTGGGGGTGTCAAAGGAGGACATCACTGCCAACCGTGTGCTGGGGGGCTGCTCGGGGAGGACATGGCTTCCAGCCATGTGTCTGGGGATGGCGGAAGGGCATAACTTCCAGCAGTGCATCTGGGGTTGTCAGGGGAGGGCATCGCTTCCCGCGCTGTGTTTGGGGGTGTCCAAGGAGGACATTGCTTCTATCTGTGTCTGAGGGTGTCATGCAGCTCTGGAAAACACACCCCAAGAAAAGCTGTGTAGGATGGCACAAGGTGGCCATCGGAGTGGCTCGGCTGCCCTAGGAGGAGGAGCGGGAAGACAGAGCAGGGCTCTTACACCCCAAAAAGGGGCAGCTCAGGAGGGTGCGAGGTCTGCAGGCTCAGGGTAACCTGAAGAAAAGAAATAGGAGACGGTCCTCGTCATGGGTTAGACTCATCTTAGAGCCTGGGCCTGACCCAGCAGGGGAAATCCCCCCATGAGCCCATCTGCACTGTCTAGGACCACTTTTGGGAACAGAAAGGACGCTTGTAAGTGAGAAGATGTCCAGGCATGTTGCTTCTCCAGCCCCTGGGTATTACAGACGTGCCAAAGCGAGCATGAGAGGGACGAGTGAGATGCCCAGGGGCACACCCCGCAGACCTCTTTGCCGTGCTGCCTCGCTCAGGGTGCAGGAGCACCTTCACCCACAGCGTGGAAGAGCTGCTGCCCCCTCCCCTCCAGCTGCAGGAGGGTGCTTGGCACGGCCCTTAGGTTTAACAAGGATTTCAGCCTCTTTGCAGACCAGGTGTGTCAGCAAGACTTGGGCTGTCGCCGTTGGTGGGTGTCTCTTCCCCATGACCACGACCGCGTTCCTCCTCCTGCATCTGGTGGTGGTTCCCACCAGCCAGCGGTGCAGCGCCTGGACCTGGGAACCCCCGGGGGCTCCCGGTGACACCAGCGGAGCCTTTGAGGCGAAGGCCCTCAAATTTGTGCTGTAGCAGAGCACCTCCCTAGCATGTTTTAATGACTGATGACATAGTACCCTCTACGCACCGCCTTATATAGTCCTCCCTGACACTTTGGATTTTATCCCTACATCATCCTTTTGATGGTTGGAGCTTTTCCAGCGAAGTAAAATTCTGTTGGAAAATGCCGGTCCCTGGAGCGTCACATGTTTTGGTTTGGTTTTTACAATATCTCAGGTTCAATGAACTCTCGTTGGTGCCTGGGCCGGGTCCGTGAGGCTCTGCTTGGTCTCGCTGCGGAGAAAACTGGAACAAGCAACCTGCTCCCAGCATGTCCACCTCAAACTATCCAGTTTGGCTCCAGTTGTGTTTGCAGAGCGGGGTGCTTTGGGTCCCTGCCAGGAGGTCCCTCCTCATGGGACACCCCCCAGCAGGTTTCTCATGTCTCTGATGGGGTCTGCAGGTAACCCTGACCCCTCCAGCACCTCCTGAGGGAGCTGCTTGGAGCCAGTGGGATTCCAGGGGGGCTCAGTGTGGGCAAGTCTCTCTCCTGAAGGCCTGTTTTTGAACATTTTCCCCCACGAACTCCAGCCACCTCAGGCTATTTCAAGGCCATCTTCCTATCCTGCCCTTGGCTTCTGCTGCAGAGAGGATGCTCCACCCCTTTATTTCTAACCTACCTGCTGCTCCTGCCCTCCCCATCACCCCATTGCATTTGGGGTTACCTCTTCCAGCCTCTCCCAGCACCGCAGCAGCAGCAGCAGATGACAACCAGGATCGGTCTGCACTGCAAAGGACAAATCCCATCCCACTGGGCCGGGGCCATGCAACAGCCTTGCTTGGATGGTGGGTTTGAGTTCCAGGCCCCAGGGCCCTGACGGTGACAGCCCCATGGGCAGTTCAGAGCTCTCTTTTCTCCCCAGGCCCTCAGATCCTGGGGAGAGCCCTGCAGACAAGCAACGCCATCGTGGAGGGCTGGGAGCCAAAGCAGCTGGAAAATGCAGCCGGGTTTTGCAGACTTCAGCACTTTTCCCTGCCAGAAGGAAGCTTGCCCCTGCCCCAGCTCTGCCGCCCAGGCAGGAGGCACCCCGTTATTTCTACCTTGCTCTTCCCCTGTAGCTCACCCCGACCCCTAATGCAGGTCCCCTACAAGCATGCACGGTCCCCATGGGATGTGGGTGCCTCAGGCTCCCCCCACACCCAGAAACGTCCTTGAATCAGCCAAAGAGGACTGACTCCTCTTGGGTGATTCCTCTTGGCAGGGGAAGTGTTTGTCCCTTGCCTTGCCTGCACATCCCTTGTGTGTCCCAGCACCGCGGCTGAGCATCGCTGTCCCACTGCCCAGCCGGGCACAGACACCCCGCAGTCGTGGCACCTGCGTGGGGTGAAACATGAGCGGAGAAAGCAAGAGGCACGTGTGGTTTCCATGCAAGCAGCCAGCTCAGAAACCAGTCCAAAGGACTGGGGTGGGGGGATCCCATAACCCCCCTTCTGCCTGCCCCCCCTGCCAGTGGCCGCAGAGCGCCGTTTGCAAGCGGCTGGTGCCCTCTAAAGGGAGAAGAAAAGGGAAAAAAGCCCCAGCGGGACAGACAGACACCCTGCTGCAGGACAGATGGCTTCTCTGGAAACAAGGCATGGGGGGGGGCTTCCCAGCTGGGTCTTACCCCTGCTCTGACCTTGCCTGCGAGACGCCAGAGCTGCAGAGCACCAGGACTAGATCATCAACACCCTGACGAGCACAGGGAAGCTGCAGAACCCTGGGAGAGGCTCTAAGGGTATAAGCTTGAGGCGGTTTTAGTTTGCTTCTTGTCCTGGGGAGAGTTGCGCAGCTCCAAATGGCCAAAAAAAAAAACCCCGGGTGCTTCTTCAGGCTCGTGCTATTCCTTGTCCCACCAAGGTTGCCACCCTGGCACATCACCTGCTGCCCGGGCCAGCCCATCTGCTTCAGCAGCCCCAAACCTCTGTGCTGTGGGATAAACACCAGAAAATGGGGCTCTTTGCTGGATCTGTGCTGCTTGGCAAGAGGGAGGGGAGATGCACCCACCCTCCTGGCCTGATGGAGAGCAGGTGTCATGGGTGCGAGAGCTCCAGGGAGGGGGCACAGACTAAACATGCCGATAACTCAGCCCAGCGCTCCAGCCGCGGTGGGGAAGGCTGCGCAAGGTGATGCTGCAGAGGGGCTTCCGCCTTCCTCTAACTTCGACACGTCCTGTTAAAGACATTTGGAAACATGGCAAGGGTTGTCTGCACCACTGGGAGGCTGCTCGTGTGCTGAAAACAGCTCCACGTCTCTCGGAATTAAAGGACTCCTGAAACAGGATTACCAGAAGTGGCTGTTCAAAATATCTCCTGGAAAGGCCGAGGTGTTCTTGGTGCCTTTGCGAGAGTGCCGGGGAGGTGGAGGGCAGAGGAGGCTGGGAAGTGATTAAAACAGTTCTTACCTCTGCTACACTCCATGCAGTAACTGCCAACATGGTTTGAAGCTTGGAAACCCACCCTGACGTTCTCAGGAAGATTTCTTCCCCATGGGATTCTTTTGCATCTGTTTCATTTTGCTTTCCTGGACTTAAACCTTGCAGGGTATATTTAGGCAACTCTCTTCTCCCTACCAGGGCCCAAATCTGTGCCGTGCCCTCCACACACCACGGCTCAGCACTCGAGGACGTGCTAGGCAGTGACAAAGCATGTCCCAGGCTAAAAATAAACCCCACGTTGGGTATCTGTGGTAAGATCAGCTCCCCTGCCAGCTCCCTGCCAGGCAGCCCTGCTGGGGGACACGGTGACAGACAAATCATCTCCTGGGGAGGTGGTTTGGTAAATTCTGGGCTCCCTCTCTGCTGCCACCACGTTTGCTGGACCGGGGAGAAGAGGGAGACGTTTTCCCATGATGGGGAACCACCTTGTAGGGTTTGGTGCTCAGACCTTGCCGTGCATGAATTAAAAACCAGGGGGTTCTCTGTGTGCTGAGGTGGCTGGAAGGACAAGTCCATCTTGGACGTCTTGGCCAGAGCAAAGGAAATAAGGAAGATTTCTTTGCAGCACCGGCTTTGATGTGCGGGGGAGCTCCAGGGAACTTCAAGGACAGGGTTATGGAGCTGCTCCAGCATTGGTGGGTGCTGGGGGTCTCACATGGGTGTGAAAAGGTGATAAAAGGGCAAGAAAAAAGTTCTCGCTTGGCATCTAAAATGTTAAGAGTTGGCTGCAGTCCAGAGCCATCGGCAAAGGAAGATTTGGGCTCGTCCATCCCGGGTGGTAACTGTGAGCTGCGGAGAGCCAGCAGGGGTGCTCCACGAACCCCAGAAATCCCCCCAGATCCCCCCAAGAGCTCCTGGAAAGGGGTGAGGGCCGAGATCCCCACAGCATCTTCCTCAGGACACCCTCCTGCAGCCTTGTCTCCGTTACCCTTGACTATTTTGTGCCATCCACAGGCTCATCACCTCCTCTGTGGCTGCTGGTGACTATGCTGAAGTCTGTGTGCTCTTCCTCACCATTTCTCACCCCAGGTGAGAAGGTCCTGGGTGATGCCCCCCGCCAACAGGCAGAGCCTGGACCGGGGGAGAGCTGCCTTTCCACCCTGGTGGGCAGAGGCCAAGTGGGGGCACTTTGCCTCCCAAAGAGTGACCCCATCAAACCGAGCTAATCCCCTGCCTGTCCTCAATCTCTCAGCCCACTCATTGCCCCAAATGGCAGGAGGAGCTGTGTGGTGGCCAGCTGCCCCCTCTCCCTGGAGGCCACAAAGAGCATCCCTGCCGCATGCGGGCAGGTCCCTTTGGCGCACAGAGTCCAAGTCAGCAACCAGCTCCCTCTCCTTTATTTTCCCATTGCTCCCCTTCCAACTGGAAAACCAGGTTCCCACCGAGGGCATTGCTTAGGCTCGGTACTCGAAGAAGCAGTCTCGGAGCTGTCTCTCCTGGGAGGTGACCCTCTTCCCTGAGGGGAAGGTCTGGTAGGTCCGCAGGTTCACCGGTGACACTCGCAGCAAATGCCAGCGGGTCTTGGCACTGAGCGGGGTGCTGGGGAGGAGGAAAGCACCAAGAACGGTTGGAGAAGTTCAGGAGGCAGCAGGTACAGGCAGGACTTACGGAGGTGTAGGCAGGGCTTAGCCTTAGGGCTGTGCTCCGAGGGCACTGGGGCACCCACGGCACTTGTTCAATCCAACCTTGCACTGGGCTGATGCAACCTGTGACCTCCAGGCAACAAATATTAATGCAGGCACAGCTCTGCATGTTGGCGTCACCCGGACAGGTTCAGTCACATCTGCATGAGGAAGGACCCTGGGGATGAGGAAGAGTTTGAAGGGGTAGAGGGAAGACACAGATGACTTCCAAGACCACCACCACCACGCACACCCAGTTGGGGACACGTTGTCTGTCCCTCCAGGAGCTGGTCCAAGTCAAATAATTTCTGTGGGCATGTAAGGAACTGAAGGAATTAATGGCTCAAACATTTAGTGACACAGAAAATCTCCAGGAAAAACTGTGGCCTTTGTGGTTGGTCTAAGGAATGAATTATCTGTCCAGGGGAGTGCAGAGTGTATCGAAGGGTGCACGGCTCCGCTCCCCTGCAGTCGTATTGCCAAATTCCCTAGGTGAGCCTCAAAGGGGGGAGATGTAGACTGAGTAAAACCTTATGTTTGAGGTAAGGACTACACTTGAATTTATGGCTGTAGCCTCAAAGGAGAGCTAAGAGATTGGTAAGAAAGACAACTGACACCAGATGGAGCTGAGGGAGCTAATGGCTCAAGAAGCAAAAACTGAGGGAAAGGTCTGGGGGGGAAATCATGACCCCTGATTCAATTGGACAAAAGGGTCAACACACCCCATTGCCCCCCAGCACACACACTGAGCTCACACTCCACCTTTTCCCCATCTCTCCTGCAAATGAGTTCATGGAACACCTGCCTCTCTTTATCTAGTATGCAAATCAGCTGATAAAATGAACTTAAAAAGTGACAGAAAACTGCTGGGTGTGCACCCCCCCCACCCAGGATGACCGACCCAAGACAACGCTGGATCCTTGGGCAGTGATTCAGATTTCTTTGACTCTTTTCTTTCTCTTTTCTTTCTCTCTTTTTCCCTTTCCCTTTCCCTTTCCCTTTCCCTTTCCCTTTCCCTTTCCCTTTCCCTTTCCCTTTCCCTTTCCTTTCCTTTCCTTTCCTTTCCTTGGTATGTACCAGGCAGCCGGAGTCACGGTCAGGCCTGGAGATGGTGGTCAGGGTCAGGCAGAGCCCAAGGGACACCCAGCCGTGAGGTAGGTCTGAGCTCAAGCCCAGCTCCAGGTCCAGGTTGGGCTGGAGGAGGTCCACGACCAGGCCCTGTGGTGAAGCTGCAAATGGGGGCTGGTGCTAAATCTGCGGCTTAAAAACGGATCCCAAGGGAAAGGAGGTGCTGGCCATCACCCCCAGCTTTGCCCACAAGAGCTCCTAGCAGCTCCAGGACTGACCTTGGCCTCTGCCAGCTAAACTCCTGGAAGGGAGATGCCCTCATGGGCCCAACAGCGTCTGCTTTACTTCATCCACTTCCAGCCATCCTTCTCATCCCACATGTTTCTCTGCCTTGCCACAAGACCGGGCCTGGGTGAAGGACAGCCTCCCCCGCTCCTCTTTGTTTTGTCTGGGCAGCGAAGGGTTGATAAGAGCTAGCCAGCCTAGGTAGCCACAGCAGGCAGCCAGGATGACGCCTCCATGCCCATTGATCAACCTCTCATTTAAGCAGCTTCTCTGAGCTCCACACCCAAAAATACGCAGATTCCTGGACTTCTAGGGCGGGCTGTAGCCAACCTCGCCACTCAGAGCCCCACCATGACTTCCCATCTTGCAGCAAGGAGGGTCCAGCTGCCTCCTGGGCTGTGCAGGAGGGAAAGTGGCCAGTGAGGCAGCGGCAGCATCCAGCCCCCCCGTCGGTGTCTGCAGAGCTGCGGCCGGTCCGAGGCCCCTGTGCAAGACACAGACACGCAGAGCAAGGGCCACCGAGATGGGCTGGGGAACGGGGCGCAGAGCCCCCCCGGGGTACTGGATCCAGCACAGGAAGGACACGGACCTACTGGAGCGGGGCCAGAGGAGTCCACGGAGATGCTGGGGGGGCTGGAGCCCCCCTGTGAGGACAGGCTGGGAGAGTTGGGGGGTTCAGCTGGAGGAGAGAAGGCTCCGGGGAGACCTTAGAGCGGCCCCCCAGGGCTGAAAGGGGCTGCAGGAAAGGGGGGGGACACACAATGACACTTTTTACAAGGGCATGTAGTTAGGATAAGGGGGAACAGTTTTAAACTGACAGAGGGGAGATTTAGATGAGATCTGAGGCAGAAATTGTTCCCTGTGAGGGGGGTGAGGCCCTGGCACAGGCTGCCCAGAGAAGCTGTGGCTGCCCCCTCCCTGGAAGGGCTCAAGGCCAGGTTGGACGGGGCTTTGGGCAACCTGGGCTGGGGGAAGGTGGCCCTGCCCGGGGCAGGGGGGGGCACTGGAGGGGCTTTAAGGTCCCTTCCCACCCAAACCAGTCTGGGATTCGATGTGCAAGGAGAGGCAGAGAGCTGGTTGTTCAGCCTGGAGAGGAGAAGGCAAAGGGGGATCTTATTTCTGCCTACAGGTACCTAAGGGCAAGGAGAGGGTCCAGAGGATGTAGAGCTGCAGGAGGCCGGAGGATGCACCTTGAATTTCAAGGTGCACGGTGATAGGGGCAGCGATGGGCACAAGTTACAACAGAAATCCAGCCAGGTATAAGGAAAACATATGAAGATACTGTATCTGAAGCCCTGGAGGTTTTTTGGCGTTTGGTGGGTTTTTTGGTTGGTTTGTGGGTTTTTTTTGGTTGGTTGGTTGGTTGTGTTTTTTTGTTTTGTTTTGTTTTTTTCCTGGATTTTACACTCCTAATGAGCCACAGGAATAAAGCACTAGGGGGCACCCACGTATTTCTGCTGGCGCTGGCCCCGGCCGCCTCCCACCGCAGCTCAGCTCCCAGTCCTGTTCTGGCAGCCCTGTGGGTGCTTTTTCAGCCCATGGCAGGTCCAGTGGAACCATCCCAGGAGGCCAGTGCTGGGCTCAGAGCTCAAGGCAAGCGGGAATTTTGGATGTCAGCTCTAACTCACGTTGCCTGGGAGGAACAGACTCCTCTGACAGCTCCTCTGGTCTGTGGAGGGTTGGGCAGGACGGTGGGGGCTGTCGGTGCCGTGGGTCTCCATCCAAAAGCGTGGTGGGACACGGGGCCAGGCTGGGACACGGAGCATGTCGGCCCCGCACAGCCCACGGCTGTGAAGTTCAGCCCTCTCAGATGAGTTTACACTGTGGGGTGATGCGAAGTCTCTGCAGGGGAGTTTAGCTTCACTAGTCCCTGAATTTGGGCTGTGGTCTGTGCTACTCCAGGTTTTAATTTCCCTTTATTCTTGCTAAAAATGATTTATGGCTGTTTCTTTCTAACTCCATTCATGCTTTCAGCGCTGGGGAGAAATACCCAGCTACCTAATCCATATTTTAGCAGTGCTCCGTCTACTTCTGGCCACCTTCACGCTCCAGAGCTGCTGACAAGCTCCCTCACACTGTGCAGCCTCTGCCCCGACACCCCCAGGAGAAGCCCCCCGGTGACTCTCTGGGCGCGATGTTTTGGGGCTGCTCAACCCCTCGGCGTGCCAGCACGGTGCTGGGGCAGGGAGGCTCAGGTGTGACACGTGAGGAGCTTAAACAACACTTCAGCATCTGCACCCCAGGCTGCACGCGTGGGGTATTCCCCTTGCCGCAGGGCTGCCACGCGCAGATCGGTAGCAAAGGTGGTGGAGGAGAAAACAAAGACTGGTGGTTTCTATCTAACATAACCGCAGCTCTCGTCTGTCCTGGTTTGCAGCTCTGCCTGGGGATATGCTGGACCCCCTCCCATGGGGTAACAAAAGTATTTAATTTGGGGTGATAACAGATACTCTGGCGAGAGGTTTGTGAGTATGAGAGGTCTGTGAGTATGAGGTGTTCTGACAGCAGCAGTTTTGGGAGGAGATCTTATGTCTCAGAGATCCTGCTGTGTTTGTTAGTGTAGAAACTGTGCTGGCGGGCATGGTGAGGGATACAGCAAACAAAAGCCGCCCATGAGAGGCACCGAGGGCTGGATGAGGACCAACACTTACGTGCTGCCCCCAGGATGGCTGCTCCACCTCCCTGACCCTCTGCTCCATCAGGACAATCGGTCCAGGGAGGATGAGGAATACCCACGAGCTTCACTCATAGCTTTTTTTCATGAATGACTGTTAGAGCCATGGCAAAAAGGGGATTTTTGCCTTTCAGTTTTTATGACCTCCTCCCCTCTCCAGGACCCTGCATTGTGGAGGTTCCTGGTGAGCGGAGGCCTGGACCCACCAGGTCCCTCCGAGGAGCCCCAGCTCTGCCCATGCCCAGCCCAGCCTGGCTATGGGGACGCAGGAGCTATGAGCCAGGGTTGGGGTTCCTCCATCAGTTCATCTCCAAGTCGCCATGGAGATCTGTTTGTGATGGCTTGGGTAGTCAGTGGGCAACCTGGGGGTGGCAGCTGGACCTTTGGCCAGCTCACATGATGGGTTGCTAAAGTCTTGCCTTTTCCAGCAGCCACTTTAGTATAACAGTGAAGTAGAACTGTTGTAGCCCATAGCTCTGCTCTGCCACAGTGGAAAAGGTCCCAGGGAGCAGCAGATGCTGCAGGGTGTCCCACAGCAATGAGGAAGGGAGGAGACGGGACACAGAGCCCCCAGGATGCTGCACTCCAGTTTTTGCCAGGGCTTTGAAATGAATAAACATCCAGAATTTCAAACACACAGCTGGGAGGATGCTCGCTTTTAAAAAAAAAATGCCCCTGGGATTTCTAAGTCGGGAAAAAAATCCTCACAGCCTTTCAGATTCATCTAGTTTCTTCTTCTCTCATTTTTCTGAGGACAGAACATTTGGGTGAAGGAAAGAAGGAGGATCAGGTGTGGGGCTGACTCTCCCCCAGACCTCTCCAGTTTCATCCCACTAGCCCAAGCCCTGGGAGCTGGGTGCCCCCATGTCCTAGGGCCCGTCTGCAGGGACATCTCTACTCACAGGTCAAGTGGATGAGGAAATCTCTCCTTTTCCTGCGAGGGCAGCACAAAGTAGGGAATGGGGTGCAGTGTCCCGCTCCTGTCCCGGTAAAACTCACGGTGCTGCTGGCTCAGCTGCAGACAAAAGCAGATGTTCAGGTGTTTTCTCTGAGTTCAGGCTTGTTTGGGTTTTGTGAGCACCTGAAACCACTTAGCATCACTTTTGGCTGCTGAGGCAGCATCCCTGCCTGCTGCCTGTGCATGGAGCTGGGGCGGCGAGCCTCCCTGCGTGCAGGCAGCAGGGGAGGGGTCAGCCGCCTGTACCCCCCCAGAATCCCCCGTGTCCTCACCTGGTAAAACCTGCCCAGCTCCTGGGATCGGGCACCGTCCAGGCTGAAGCGGGTGTGTGGCCACGGGTCCTGGCATGCTGGCCCGGTCTGGGGGCCCTGGGGGGATCTCATGCTGGTGCTGCCACGGGTGTTTCTGAAGGAAAACGCTGGGTTTGGGATGTGCCTTCAATACCTGCATGGGAAACGTGGTCAGGAAGGGCCATGCTGGGGCTCTCCAGGAGGAGGGAGCTGCCTTCCCCTTCTCGGCTCTGCAAAATACCCCCAGGGAGCCAGCACTTGCCTCTCTGGGTTTAAATAATCCCGCTTTAGCAAAAAACCACCCCACATTTGATGCACAGCACTGCATTTGAGGATAAACTCAAGGGATTCTGGTGATAGAGGGAATGGCGCCGTTGTGACCCAGGACATGTTCAATGTTCATTTTCCTTTTTAAGCACCTTTCCTTGCATTCTGGAGGTGCCCCAGGCAGAGAGCTGCTGCTGCCAGACGGGGTTTCCCCCATCCCCGGCTGGCACCCGAGGAGTGGGAAAGGGGAGCAGCTGATCCTTCTCCTGGCAAAAAAACAGCAGGAAGAGGGAGAATGAAGCCGACCCGCAGCACCCAGGAAAGGTCAGCGTGAATCCCTGGTGGCCTCACCTCCCAGGTCTCAGGCTGAGGCTGTGATGCCAAACTCATTCCCACCGGGCTGAATGGGGAGATGCTGCAGAGCATCTCGGGGGACCAGTCCTCTGCTGGAGTGGATCCAGATGCTGCCTCCCATAAAACAACCAGGAGGCTCTCCCAGGCAGGGAACAGCCCCCAGATTCCCCCTTTCCAAAACGCAGAACAGGGAATTCATCAGGACACGGTGCTGGCTGGCCCTGAGAGCAGGGGAGGGCTGCACAGACTCTTTTCTACCACTCCATCCGCCCCACAAAGACATTATTTGGATCTCCCCTTAGCTCCTAAAATCCAGTTATCACTAATAACGAGTAGGCAAAAAAGAAACTGCATTCCCCCCTTCAGCCACCCCAGAGAGCTCAGAGGCCTCCCTGTGTGCTCCTGAAGTGTGGAAATACGTCATTATTCTCCCTCCACCTTCTCAGCAATCGGTTTTCCTGCAAAGCCCGGTGTGCCGAGACACTGCAGCGTCGGTGGAAAGCGCTTCTTTTCGCCAAGCAAACTCACCCAAGGCACATTGGAGTTAATTTTGCTGCAGTCTGAGCTGCTCTGCCTAGAACCTGACACCAGCGTTTCAGCTGGTGCAGGAGACCTTGGCTCTGAGCGCAGAGCTGTATCGTTCTGCAAAAGCCAGGAGAAAAGGAATATCTTAAGGAAAAAGAAAGAAATAACAGCCCTTGTGCCTTGCTGCCAGGGCAGAGAAAGCAGAGCTGGGGAAGAAAGGAGACAACTGAAGGTGAAAATCAACAATGAACTGTTTAGCACATCCCCTGGTCAAGGGGAGCCTGGGGCTCGCTGAGCTCTGTTCCCCCCCTCCCCAGAGAGGCTGCAGAGGTTGTTTTTCAAATTCCTGTGGATAAAACCACTGTCCTGCTGCCTGTCCCCGCAGGGTCTGGGCTCAGTGGCCCTGGCAGCCCCTGTGCTGAGCCCAGGCCCTGGCCAGCCCTGCTGCAGGGACAGCACTAACCCCCAGCAGACACCCCAGGTATGAGCACAAGTTCATTTGTGTGCCAGGCAGCAAGATCCTGATTAACATTCTGGGGTAAACACAGCACAAACCCCCCTATCTTTCCCAGGAAAAGTGCATTATATGTGAGGGTTTTTTCTGCCCAATTCCAACTGTGTACATTGAACATACAGGACGAGAGAGCCAGCCCATTCCCTCTGGTTTAACAGCCAAATAATGAGCATTTCTGTTGTCTGAGCCTCTTGATGTGCAGCTGCTGACACTGCCCTGCGATGCTGTTCACCTCTGCTGGTATCAACCCGTTCCAAAGCAAAGCAGTAAATGAAAATATTTGATATGCAAGTACCCTGTTGCTTGCTACTCTCCAGTGTGCTGGAAAGATTTATGTGAACAGGTACAGGCAGTAAAAAATGCAGCACGTGTTTTAAACGTGCAAGCACCTACGGAGCCAGAAAGGTCCCTGGGCTGCAGAAGAGGATGGAAAAGTGAGAGATTTGGCAGCAAAGCTGCTTTGAGGTTGAAGTGGTGAGATGTGAACTGGGAGCAGGCTGTCAGCCAGAGCGCTGGATGGCTGAAAATGATGTTCCCCTGTTTTTTTCAGTCTTCACATCAGAAGCTTGCAGGAAGTTCTCTATGGCAGCATTGATATGACTGGGATCATAGCAACATTCAATACTGAGAATGGACTTTAAATGCTGATTGAATTTTCAACAGTTACCAAGTACTTACAGCTGTATGCACAGTGATAACTTTATACACAGGAAAGAATGTTCTCCAAACACAAGGCTAGGTAAACATTTGGTCCTAGGAAATTCTGTTAACTAAATTAACTGCAAAATTGTTTATGATCTATTGTAGATATTTAAATCTGAATAGATCTCTTTATAAAGGACATAATAAAATGACATAACTCTATGCCTGTTGCATTAGGCTTGCCATTGTTGTGATTTAAGTCAGGCCAGCAGCCAAACGCTACACGGCCGGCCTCTCCCTCTCCCCCTCCCTCTTCTGGGGGATGGGGAAGAGAATTGGAGGGGTAAAAGAAGACTCATAGATTGAGTTTAAAACAATTTATTAATAAAATAATACAGTAATAGAAAGTACAAACGGGTAAAGCGCAATATGAGTGCTCACCACCCACCAGCTGATACCCAGCCACTATGGCTAACAATCCGGAAGAAAACCAAGATCCCAAAAATGCAATCTCAGAAGCGAGAGAGAAACTCCTCTTTGCCAGCCGACTCCTTTATATACGGAGCATGGTGTTACACGATATGGAATTGGCTAATTTGAGTCTGGTGCTCTGGCTCTGCTCCATCCCAGCTGTACATGGGCAGGACATGGGGAGTTGGAGAGCCCTTGATCTCTTATCAACAACTGAAAACATTAGTTTATTATCAGCATTCTTCTCATACCAAATCCCATACTGTATCCAAAACACAGCACTCTTCTAGCTACTAAGAAGAAAAATTAACTCTATCCCAGCTGAAACCAGGCCAGTATCCACAATAAGGATTCCACACCATTTACATTATACTCAGGTTCCATGTTTCCCAATGCATGATATTTAATCACCATCCCTTTTGCTGGTCTTTGATGTATACATACAGTTATCATTCCCTTAGCCTATGGGCCATGCCTCCAAAATTCATTATCCTCCAGCCATGTATTATTCTTGGTTTTCATCCTTTTCCA